GAGCACTCTATAATAGATTATTGTCCTTATTCAACAGTTTCATCAATGGCATACATAAAGGGAGATAAGGGAGGACATTTTGTAGTATAAAGTTTCATCTATGAAGAAGACATGACAGAAGTAAACCTTAATGCACCAAACAACATAGCAGCAAAATATATAAGGCAATATTTTAGAAACTTTTAGAAAAACAGAAGAAACCTGATAAACTTTTAGAAAAGCAAAGGAAATCTGATAAAGACAAAATTTAAGAAGAAGTTTAGAAGACATTAACAAACATCTCAAATCTGGCACATTAGTCAGGCAAAAAGTACATTAAATATATACAGTATTTGAAACCATCAACCAGCAGGCTTAATTTAAGAGATGAATATAGAATGTAGGCCCTACAATAAAATCCATATTCTTCTTATAGAACTTACATAAAATTGATAGCATTTTTGGTTACAAAGGAAAGATTAGTAGACTCTAAAAAGTAAATACCTAACCACTATATTCTCTTATTGTAATACAATAAAACTGGAAGCCAATAGTTTGTATATTTTTTTAATTTTAATTTTCTAAAGAAATGTGCCTGGACTGGGGATTATGCACCCAAACTGGGGATCAAACCCATGCCCTGACCAGGAATCAAATCCACAACTTTTTAGTTACTGGACAATGCTCCAACCAACTGAGCCATACCAGCCAGGGTGGTTTGTATTATTTTTAAAAACATTCTTTTTAATAACTCAGATAATTAAAATAATCAAAACCAACATTATAGATTATTTAGCTTACATTATGATTGAAAATTTAAAATATCAACAAAACCCGGAAGGTCATTGAGTGCACTGAACAACCAGTTGGGATCCATTTAAGACAGTGACAGGCTGGAAAGATGGACTGAATCTAACAAGCATGAAATCTAACAGAATTACATTTGAGATCTTGCCAAAATCCAAAAGCCAAAGGTAAAAGCACAAAGTGGGAGAGATAAGATTCAGTAGCACCATTTAAAAACAAAAACAACCACAGAGCCATAAAGTTTAGTGTATTCAGTTGACAAATGGGTTCAGCATTCATCAGCTATGATGTGGCTGCCAAGAAAAATCATGTGATGTTAGGTTGCATGAATAGCTATGCCGCATCTAGAATAAGAGGCAATAGTCCTGCTCTAACCTGCACCGATCAAACTTCATACACAGGACACTGGGTTTGGGGCTCTATGACCTGAGGAAGCTAAATGAGAGCCCATTTTGAGAGGAGTAACGGGAATGGTAAGGGGACTTACAAAACGAAACAAAGCAAACCTTCCTGTGAGACATGGTTAGAGGAAGTAGAGAGGCATAGCCTGAACCCAGGGCTACTCCTTGAAGTCTTAATGCTATTTCAAATGTATGAAAGGTTTTTATGGAGAGGAGAGATTTGGTCATTGAAAAACACATTTCTGTTAGTCAGAATATTCCAAAGATGAAAGAGTTGCTTAGAGATCCAGCAAGTGTCCAACCACTGGAGGCATTCTAACCTAGTTTGGGTAAATTCTTGATGGGGCTTTTGTGGCCAGGATTTTAACACTAGGAAAATAGGTGGTAGGATTCCTTCGAACTCTGAAATTCTTCAGTTCCCCTGGAATCTGGTGTTCCCCAAGATGGTGCAAAATCTTCTGAGTTTGGTATCCAGAATCTTAACTATTAACATTTTGAACACAGCGCCTGTGGGTGGCATAAATGTCTGGCCATTTATAACCTTGTTGAGACAGCATAAACCCAAATGTTCAGGACTTAAAATTAAATGTCAAATAAAGACATATGGTGTCCTAAGAGTTCAGAGAAGGGCGTCAGTGAGGGTTGGAATAGATAGGGAAATCCTCATGGAGAATTGAAAGTCTATGTGTGCATCAGGCAGTAAGAGTGGTTTTAGACATGGTGGCAACAAAATGTGTATTATAAGGAGATGTAATTGGTTGCCTTTTTCCTTTGATGACAAGACGGTATGCCCAGCTATGCACAGATCTTTTCAGAGTGTCTCTCCCAGCTTCCTGCAGACACAGATTCCTGCTCTTGCACAGCCTTGCCTTTAACACATTGGTCTGACAGCAGTTTTTATTGACTAAGCTTTCTGTTCCTCATCTTCCTGATTGCCTCTGACCCTTTCCAAACCCAGCAGCCCTTTTATCCTTGAAACTAAGACCCTCCTCCCCTGGGGGAATGCTGATCCTTGCCCTCCACAGCCCTTGATAATATTAATAATTACCACAATATATAATCCCTACATTTATACAGAGCTTTGTATTTCAAGTGCTTTCCATGTGTGCTCTCTTGTTTGTCATTCATCATGACAGTGCTGAGAGGAACACAGGGCAGGTGCTACCCTGGGATCTAAGGTCACAGCACTTGCCCGAGGTCACACAGAGGAAATGAGCTGGCTCTAGGTTCAGCTCCCAGGGCTCCGGCTCCTGAGCTGGTAGCTCCTGTGTCTGATCCACGTGGTCATATGTCAGGGCTCGAAAGTCATTCTGGCCTGGGCAGTCTCCCAGGAGGCCAGCTTGATTCCAACGCATTTCCAATGGCTTGGTTCTGTGTACGAGTCTGGTTGGGCCCAGGACCACTTCTGCCTAGTTGTGCTCCCAGGGCTTCTTTGCAGTGGGCCAGTCCTTGTGAGTGAGGGCTGGGAATACACACCTTTCAGAGGCTATAACTGCCTTCCTGACATTTGTTTTTGTTGTTGTTGTTTTTAGCAGTTTCCAAAATTACTTCATGACTAGCAAAGTGACATGTGAGCACAGAAAATGTTTATTAATTTAATCAAATACAGCTTAGAGCAAAGTTCATGTAACACATTTAATGATAGTATAGAATTACTGCTTTGCATGATTTTTAGGCATAAATGTAAACAGCTTATATGAATGACTGTAATTAGTATTGCTTTAACAGAGCCAAATCAATTCTTTAGTTCCTCTCATTTCACTTTATTAGTTCTCCAGTATTTATATAGATGAAATTGCTGTCTTAAGTTTTCTTTGACACCATTTGCCATCTAGCATCTGAATTTCTTCAAACACAGAAATATAATTCCAAGGACCAAGAGAAAGACCATTCTTCTTTCTGAAAGTTCTTTTGAACTGTATTCATTTCTGTCCCTGAGATGTTCCTATTTAACAGAAGGTGATTTTGCTCCTTATTTCTCTCTAAGATGTTCTTGTAATTGTTATGAGATGGCTAAGAACAAAAGCAACAATATGAAACATCTGTCATTTACCAAGAACAGTTTTCTTACTCTTAGCCAAAAAGATGTTTGTTACATCCAGGATGTCAAACACAATGGTAAACACAGGGACCCAGCTTGTGGAAGCCTTGGAGAGCTGTCACATTTTGGTGAGCACATCCTGGGGCCATTGCCACACTTAAAATCAGGTTTCTAGTCTGGAAGGTACAGCTAAGAAAGGAAAGGTTGATGCTCTGATACGAGTGACCTTGACCCTGGAGACTTGTACCAGGTCCTTTGTCTGAGTCAGTTTTGTGGTTTCTGTAGAATTGGAAAGATGCCAATCACTATGACTCCTCAGTCATCGCTCAGTCTGTGCCTGTGCTATGAATGTTCCCCGACAGGGAGCAAGTGAGGAAGGGGCAGCAAGTGGGCTGTGGCACAGTCTTGGGCTATAGGGACAGCTGGCACTGGATTACAGTCCCAAGTGGACCTAGGGAGATAGGGGTTAACATCATGGAAAGTTCAGGGGAATAAATACATTCCCATCCTTGATGTTTCCTTCAAAAATCTCCCCAGTACCTCTTAGAACTGAGCACCAGAGCTTTTTCCTCAATTGTTGCAAAGTATCCTCACTTGAATCAAAGGCAGAGGGGGCTTGGGGCTTGCCACCATTTGAGTTTAGAATGGCAAGTGCCAAAATTTGCAGGATGTGTGTATTACATGCTCAGAACAGGCCTTAGGAGCCATGACCTCAGCCTGTTCACTGGAGCCTGGAGTTTCATTAATAGAACAGAAAGAGGGCAGAGAGGCCACCTTTCACTGCAGGTCAGAGAACAGGTACAAAAATGCACTCTTTTGGGAATGTTAGTGCTCTGTGTGATACCTTCCAATCTCAGTTCAATTGTTAATACCTGATCATTCCTGTTTGAATTGGAAGTGTCAGCAGGTATCACTGGGAGAGAAGGAGGAACAACCCCAGGATGCCTGCAAACCTTGTCCCCACTGCTGCTTTTGCCTTCACTCTGCGTAGGAGCCCAGTACCCATGCACGTCCCTCCTGTTTTGTGGGGCTCTCCCCAATGGGGAGAGGATGCTGAGAGTGGGGATGAGGTCATCTCATTGTAACTGCAGGCTGTAACCAGCCTCCCTGTCTCATAGTGTGTGCCTCTGGGCCCGGGCCCAGAGGGCATGGGCACTCGGACATGTGGGGCCCCTTCCTTTGCAGGGGGTTCAGGGGTGGTGGCTGTCATGGCCATGCGATCCTTTCAAGTCTCATGAGAGATGAGTATCACACAGACTTCAGCGCACAATTTTCGGAGAGCCCTCCAGCAGTGCGGTTCAGACAGTGCTGATGTAGCCAGGTGGAAAGAACACATCCAAAATGAGAATGATATAGAACAAAAAAAACAAACAGGAAAGAAATGCACACAACTTTAAGCCGTCTACAAGCAGAGGGGTCAGCGGGCAGGAAGGGGCCAGGCAGGGTCAGGGAGAGCGAGAGTGGCAGAGGCCGGGCGCCTTGGTATTGAAATAAAATGGAGTAAAGGAAGACGGCGCCAGGGAGGCCTCACGGCGGGGCATGAGCCTGGCCATGAGTGTGGGCCAGGAGACAGGAGGAGGAGAGGGTCCTGCTGGCCTCTGCGGGCCTGGACCCTGAGGAACTGATCCTGCGGCTCTGACTGACCTGACCTGCACAGTGTCACCCCACCACCTGCATCTCCGGGTGGGGTTTTGGTGCCCAGGACTTGCTTCTGTGGGATAAGGGAATTTCAGGGTAGACATCCTCAGACTCTCCTTTTGCCATCTCTGCAGGAAGATAGCTGCTTATGACGAAGAAATCCAGCATCTCTATGAGGAGATGGAACAGCAAATCAAAAGTGAGAAGGAACGGTTTCTCCTGAAAGTAAGAGTCCCCTCCCGGGCTTGGCTCTGTGGGCCAGGTCGGTCTCAGCTACTCTGACTGCCTCCCCCATTAGGATGGCAGTACCTCACCCATGGCACTGCTGATTCCCTCTTTCTCTGCTTGATTTATTTATTTCAAGGCATTTGTCACCTTCAGACATGGCATATAATGTACTTATTTATATTTATCGATCGTAGTCTGTCTCCTCCTACTAACATGTAAGCTCCACAAAAGCAGGGATCTTTGACTTTTACTTACTAATGTATCCTCACCACCTTGACCATGGCTCAAGACTATGTTTAATCAATGAATGAATGAACAAGTGAACAAATAGATGAATGAAAGATGAAGGCGCAGGCTTTACCAGTTAAAGCAGCCTGAGGACTGGGTCTGACTTTGGCTGGTCTCTAGACCCATGTGGCAGGCCCACCCAAGGCGCCAGCCCATTCCAGTCTATGCAGAGCAGCTCCCCTTAGGGGACTGTCCTGAGGGCCTGTACATCCCACCCTTTCCCCTTAGACACCTAGGAAATTTAATACCCAAGACAAATCAAATTTCACCTTTCTCAAACACCATGGGAGGAAATTTAAAACTCATATTTTCTAGTCCTAGTCTGGCACTTAGCCTCTTACCAAGCGCTGGTGTTTGTCTTGGGAGGTCAGAACTGGCAAAATCATCACCTTTTCCAAGCTAAGCTAAGCATATCCACGTTCATAAACAAAACCACAGGAAACTATTATCCATTTTTGGATTATCTGCCTGGTGGGTTCTCAGCAGAAAAGTCTTTGATCTTGAACAGTGGCTTCCTATCTTAGTTTGGGCTGCTATTACAAAAATACCATAAACTGGTTGGCTTACAAACAACGAACACGTATTCCTCACCATTCTGGAGGCTGGGAGCCCGAGATCAGGGTGCGAGCACGCTCAGATTCCGGTGAGAGCCCTGTTCTGGTTGCAGATGGCCAACCACTCTCTGTGCCCTCCCGTGGCAGGAGGGGCAAGCAAGCTCTCCAGGGCCTCTTTTATAAGGGCACTAATCACCTCCCAACGGCCCCACCTTTTAATACCATCACCTTGGGGATTAGATGACAACATAAAATTTGGGGGGACACAACATAGAGACCACATCATTCGCGGCCGCTCAGCACTGAGCCTGGACTATTTTCACAGCCTCTTTTCTCCCACTTAATGCAGGTTGGTTCGAACCATTTTTTTAAATTGTATGCTGCTTTGATGATCCACACCACAGCTTCATTTATTATCACTGATGTCATTCAAAGGGAGAGGGAGCCTGGATGCTTTCCAGGAACAGCCAGTCATGTTCTCCAACTAGAGCCCTCTGGAGACTTGTCAGTATTTCCAGATCTCTCCTCTGTTGTTTTTTAGAGCTTTAAAACATTCTGGCTGCCCCCAATCCTCAGCATAGTGAATGAGTCTATGGCAGACAGAACTCACAATTCTTCACTTAGCTGACTCTAAAATAGTCTTCTGAGAGCAGCAGCCTTTTTGCCCCTGCAGTGGGAGAGCCACTTCCTTTATCCCAAATGACTTACTGCACAGAGGTGCTGAGCTCTGGGGCATTTGCCTCGTGTGCCTGGGCTGTGATAGCAGGCCAAAGGTCCTGGTTAAAGAAAGGGGCATGCTTCCAGAAACAAAAGGTGGGCCCGCACATGGGGACTGGGAGTGGGAAGACGGTGGAGGAAAAAATCCAAGGACTAACTAGTATCATAGAAGGCAGCCTGACCATGCTGCTGTTTCACCTGCCTACCCGCTTCTGATCTCTCTTCTCCCTTCTCAGTGCCAACCGCCTATCAGGCTCAGTGCTCAGATTTATGCGTTTTGCGTTAACATGGAAACTGTTAGAATGTGTTTTGCCATGCTACTAAGCCTTTGGATACACAGGCTTTTGCCTGACCACAGTGTGAGTACAGTGGTGTTACAGTTTATGACAGCATGGAAAAAGCTGGCCCCCCGGCTCTATGTTTAGCAGTTTGTTTGACCACGAGGGAAATACTAGTCACTTGTACACTCCAGCTCCAGGGTAACAGACCTCTCAAAGCTCTGCACTGGCAGGGGCAGTAAGACACTCCGTGGGGATGGCGGCACGGGCACAGGGATTCTGGAGCTGCTCTCCTCACTGGCACTGCCTGCTGGTACCTGCTTCAGAGTGGAAGATGAGCTGAATGGAGCAGGTTCTCTGTAACAGAGTTTGGGGGCAGGAACTGCTTCATCAAATCTGCCTCTGCTATTGCATGTGGTTGAGATGAGGACAATCATAGGCTGTCCCTGAGCTGCAATTACCTGCCTGAAAATGGGCAGAGGAACCAAGCAGCGTCTGCAAACAATGAGCCCAGGAAATACCCCGAGCCTCTGAACGAAGGTGTCCAAAGGCCTCTGCCCTGAGAGCAGTTGCGTTTCCCACTCTGCTGCCGCCCCGTCATGCCCAACCTGCCAGCCGCCCAGCGCTGTCCTCCTTGGGAAGGCGTTGTTCCCTGTGTCAGGGAACCCAAGGTTCCTGCAGTGAGCTGCATGGACGCTATAATGGTTTCTTCTCCTCCTGCATGGTCTGCACCTTTGTTCTGCCTTCAGGCGAGTGAAGCACAACATGTGGCATGGATATTTTTGTTTCTGTTCTATGGACAAAAATGCTATGATCTAGAAGAATGAAGCAAGTTAGTTGGGCAAGGCCAGGGCTGGAACCCAAGTCTCCTGACACCGAGCTCAGAGCCCTTACACTATACCAGACTCTGTGGAGAGTGTCAGGCATCCGGGCAACCTGCACACATTCCTCTTTATCCCACAACCAGGTCCCCTGGCACCTGCATCATCAGGGCCGCTGCATCCCTGAGTGGGGAGGTTCAGATCTGGGTTGGAAGGGAAGGGGCTATGGAGCATCAGGGCAGATACATCAGGGGGCCTGGAAAACCTCAGTCAGGTAGGGAAACAGGGAGGACCTATGCCCACAAGAAGTGATGCCCTGTGTTTCCAGGGTGAGGGCCATTTATGGGATCAAATGACAGAGTTCAACGTGGAACAGAATATCTAAGTTGGAATGATGATCTACCCCCCAATTTGCAGATGAGGAGACTGAGCCTGAGGTTTGACCTCAGGCCCCCATTCTCCTCTCGCAGTTCAGTACCCATCCGCCCCTTATTGGCACTGCCTCTTTTTGGGGGTGGCATATGGTCCCAATCAAGCCACACTGAGTACTTGCACTCTCGGTCTCATCGGGCTGCACCAAACAACAGGCAGATCACTGGGGCCCTGGAATGTTGTGGGGAGGGGCCTTAAAGTCCAAAAGGAGGGACAGGGCCTGTTGTTGAGCAGGTTCAAGGTGGGGGGAAAAAATCACCATCCCAGGTGCACTTAGGCCTCACATGTCCCCTTGTCTGGCTTGGCAGGACACGGAGAGGTTTCAGGCCCGCAGTCAGGAGCTGGAACAGAAGCTGTTGTCTAAGGAGCAGGAGCTGGCACAGCTCATCCAGAAGCAGAAACGGGTAGGCTCTTGCCTGGGTCCTCACACACCTGGCCTCACTGTATCCTCTGCTGTGAGTGGCTTGTGCCCACTTTCCCTGCCATTCACTTAAGAACATCTCTTTTTTCAACCTGAGAAGAACCCTTTCATTGTACAAAGGTAGCATTTGAGCCCTGGCTGGCGTGGCTCAATGGATTGAGTGCTGGTCTGCAAACCAAAGAGTCGCCAGTTCCATTCCCAGTCAGGACACATAACTGGGTTGCAGGCCAGGTCCCCAGTAGAGGGCGCGCAAGAGACAACCACACATGGATGTTTCCGTCTTTGTCCCTCCCTTCCCCTCTCTAAAATTAAATACATAAAATCTTAAAAATAAATAAATAAAAAACAAAGGTAGCATTTGAAATCACAGATGATCCCAAGATAAAGCCTTTACTTCTCCACTGCCAGGTTTTAACTTGAGAGGTTGCTAAGAATTCCCCCTTGAAGTATCCACAGACATTTTCATGAAATTTTGCCCAGAAGCCACCCGAATGCCAAAATATTTGTTTGTTTCCTGCATGCTGTGCAAGAGAAGAGGGGAATGCTGAGGTAAAAGGGACACAGTCACTGGTACTTTGTGGGGGGGGGCTGCAAACAATGAAGTCTTCCCGCCAGGATGGTCATGGATTCCTCCAGCTGGAAGGGGCTCTGCAAAGGTCAAGTTCTCCTTCCCTGTTTTCCCCCCAGACAAGGTTCATCAGCCTCCTTTGTGACTGTTCCATCATTCTGCAGAATAGATGCAGGCACCACACGCTCCTCTGATGCACCTGAGCCCCCAGCAGACATGCTAGGTAGTGTCTTGTGCAGGGCAATGTCCATCCACTATGGCTGGGAACACCTGGCTAATGACCCCACGAAGACTGATTACCTTAGCAAACCTCAGGCTCACGGCCTCCCCTCCTAAGCAAGAGGTCGTGGGAGAAAGGCCAGAACGACATTTGTCCTCCTGTTTTGTTTTGTCTTGTGCTGGAAGGAATCCAGCCCTGGACAGACCCAAACACATTGCTTCTGTTTGAATAGAGAGGGCTATTTTTAGTAACACTTTAAAATATGCTTGAAGACACCCCATGCTAAAGCTGGAGACTGCTCCCCTCCCACTGCTACCCAATCTATGGATTTTGGTTTCTTTCTTCTGCAATGAGGTGATTTCAACTCCAGGAACTGACAGCTGCCTTCCCATCCCCCTTCCACAGCCATATCTTGCTTTTCCTACTCTTTCTACTCCTCACTATTATGCACTAAGTCCTTACCAATTAGATTTATCCCTCGCATGAATGATTGCCACTCAATTTAATTACTGCATGCTTGCCAGATTACACAGGAGCCTCTTGAGAATCACACAAAATTCCTCATTGTTTCTTCCTCCTCCCTTTACTGGCCACATTCATTAAACTAAATTTATTTTAATAAATTTGCCTTGGTTTGATGCTTCCCCTAGTGAGAGGAATGGAAGCTCCACAAAGCATGATTACCAGCCAAGAAAAGCTGCAGTTATAACATGCAGGTTTTCAGTTACTTTGGAAACATGAGAAAGGGTATACGTTGGTTTTACCTGTTTTACCTATTTCCTGTGAACTTTCAGGGTTTCTGGCTACCATACAAAGCTTCTGTAGATTAAAGGAATTGGACTTATCTAGCTGAGAGAAGGAAAGGTTAATAGATGGATTTATTCTCAGTATTCAAAGTTGGAAGAATGTTTTTATAAGGATGCCCCTTAGCTTCTCTCCATTCCACTGATGGCCAAGGAGAAGAAATTGGCTTAAAGGACAATAGGAAGGAAGGATTTATGGTGGACCTCCAGGCCACTGAAGAGATGACCGTTGTTGAGACTATTGTTGAGACCATTGATGAGATGATGACCATCATCATCATCATTAAGATGAGAGATACAGAAGGATATAGAATTTCCCTTCCTGGTCGCCCTGTGGAGACAGTGGGGAGAGGAGATGTGCTCTGGAAGCTCCTCCTGCCTCCTGAAGTGTATACATTTGAATGAAAGGGTAGGACATTGCATACAGAGGCTTGAGAGCAGTGAGAGGAACAGCGATGGCCCCTGCCCACCAAGTGGATCAAACTAGGCAAGGATGGGCAGGCCAGACTGACAATGGTGCTTGCTTACCACGCCTCTCTGTCCCCATTCCTTTCCAGCTGGAAGGCCAGTGCACAGCCCTGCATAATGACAAGCATGAAACCAAGGCCGAGAATGACAAGCTGAAACTGACCAACCAAGAGCTAGCCAGGGAGTTGGAGCGGACATCCCAGGAGCTGCAGGGTGCCCAGCAGCAGCTGGAGAGCCTCCAGCAAGAGGCCTGTAAGCTCCAGAAGGAGAAGGAGATGTGAGTCTAGACTTCATGTACCCCTCGCTGCTCTGTAGCTCCGTCCTCGTGGTGAACGCGCTGTCTCCCCTCTTTGACAGAGACCCTGCCCCCCTGCCTATAAAATGACAATTGGGTTCCTTGCTTCCTGAGACCTTGTCTAGGATTCTGAGACCATTAAGCAGACCGGTGCTGTGCTGAGCATTACCCAGGATGACAAGATATATTCAGCTCTGTTCTCAGAAAATTTATTATGTGATCAGAAAGACGTATTGTCCAACCAACAGATATATTGCAGCCTGTGAGAAAATGCTGAGTAAGTGGGCAGGTTGAACGTGACTGTCGTAGTTTAGAGACCCGGGGGTACAAAATGGACAAGAGCGATGCCCCAAAACTCCTGAGGCTGCCATATGAGTGGGGCATGTGACCGTGCCCTGCAGTCTTCACTCCAGCTCTGTGGGCACAGTGGGAGAACCCCATATCTCACAGGGCGGAGTTTGCTAGTGAACTTCTTTTGGTGCCCAGCCACGGAGTTCAGCTTGTGAGGCAGAAACATACCTGAGAAGAATCAAGGTGCATATCTGTATATGAAACTACAGAAGTTGCTGAGGAATATCAGCATTTATTTTGTTGTAGGAGTGTTAGCTTTTGAGACCAAATATACTGGGAGACCCAGAGAGAGGAATCTCACTTGTTTATTTATTCATTCACTTCTCCATATATTTATGTGTTTATTATTTGGCAAATATTTATTGAAAATCACAATTACTCTGTGCCAGGTACTGTGCTGGGCATTTAACACATCTCACTTATGTCAATACTTCGACATTATCTCATATGACCTTTACAGGATCCTGATGTGCAGGGCCTCTTATGATCAACTTTGATTTATAGATGAGGAAACTGAGGTTCGGAAGTTTTCAGTAATTGTGATGCTTAGTGCTGGACACATCTTGCTTACTCCTCCTTAGGGAATAATGGGCCAGCTAGAAAATATTCATATGGGCATGGGCTGGCCATCATTCACTCACTTGTTTGTTCATACACGCATTCATTTATTCATCCATTCATTCTGAAAAATGTTTTTGGGTGCCCAGTCCTGTGCTGGGTAAGATGAAAAATCTGATTTCAGAGAAAAGGGCAGCATTATTTACCAACGCTTGATGTTATACATATGTTCCCCCTCCTTGTTCAAAAGTGAAAGCCCTCATTCTCTCTGACTGTTGACAAAATCTTGGTCCATTGGCCTAAATCACACTGTCCTGCTGTCTGGCTTATATGTGATGTCTTGTACTGTGTAGGCTTGATTGCCTAGGGTGAGAGGGAGAATGTGTTTGGATTTGAAGTTTTACCCTAGTAAGCTAACTCCAGGAATATAATATAATATAATATAATATAATATAATATAATATAATATAATATAATATTATTTTATAATATAATATAATATAAAATAATATTATATAATATTATAATATTATAATATTATAAAATTTATAATATTCCAAGCAGCTGACTTAGAACAAGGCCCTCCATCCCAATTTTTGGATGACCAGTGCAGGGACAGTATATTTCATTGTAAATAAGCAAAATCAGTTCCTCCTCATTGAGGATAGGTCAAACAAGGCACAGACATTTAACTTTACAAACATAATTAAGGATTCAGACTCTTAAAATTCAATCAAGTTCTAAAAGCAACAAACATCTGAAGGCGCACGCATTAGAACAGCAAATGGAAATGAGCACCCAGCGTGGAATATCAAATCACAACATGAGGGTTAAAATCTTCCCAAAGCCTTATCTTAATTAACCAAGCCAGAGATACAATCTCTGGAGGTTGGGAATATTAAAAGGGGGAAGGAGGGTTAGGAGGAAGAGATCAATGATTCCAGAACCTTCATGACTTGTTTTGGAGAAGCTGGCAACGTTCTGTCCAGTCAGAGAACGTGCTGCAGCCCAGAAGACCTTGCCCTGCCCTGCCCAGGGAGGTCAGGAGAGGAAAGAGTGAGAGCCTTAGCTGCTTCTTCCCTGTGGAACTGGGTCCCAGACCCACAGTGCTTATTGGACCTTAATATTCTTGTTCATCTCTCATTTTATAAATGAGGAATCAGGCTCAGAGAGGTATAGTGACTGACCCAAAGCAACACAGGTAGTTAGTGCCAGAAACGGAACAAAGTCTATGGGACAAAGAAAGAGGACACACAATTTTCACTTATGAAATGGCAGCACATTACTCTGCATTTGCCCACATTTTTCACTGGGTAATATACTCTGGAGCATGCTCCACGTCTCATCCATCTCCTAAAAACACAACCATCAGCAGCTCTCTAAAGGCAACCTTAAACCTCTCACCAACTACTCTGGTGAAAAATGGCATGTTATCTTCCTTTTAGTTCGTATGTTACAAATATAAACTTTTAGAATGTCTAGGTTTGAAGGACTTCCAAGGTCATTTAGTCAAATATCCAAATGCCATTTTTTTTTCTAGAAAAGCTTTCCTTTTTGTTAACATAAAACAACCTGAATGTGTGTATCTATTTGTATACACATAGAGTTCACTCTTGACCCACGTGAGTTTGAACTGTGTGGGTCCACTTAGCTCATATAAGTGGGTCCGAGCAGTTCAAACCCATGTTGTCCAAGGGTCAGTTGTATTTTCTTTCCCTTGCTTTGTGGAAATCTGTATAAGTGGAGGGCTGACTTAAGTTATGTGGATTTTCAACTGCACAGGGGATTGTTCAAGGTTCAGCTGTATATCCATCTTTATCTATTCAACTAGATGTATATTTACTAGACAAATGGACAGACATGTATTTGCATTATCATGTAGTATAATATATGGGTATTTGTGTGTGTGTGTGTGTGTGTGTGTGTGTGTGTTTATGTAGCTCCAATGGTCAGCTGGTTTCTTTGAAGACCTGGAACACCTTGTTGTTTAGGAATTGGCTCCTCAGTGAAACACCCTGTGAGTACCCGGTACCCAGACTGAGGAGCTGCCCTCGGAGAGGAGCAAGACCGGGGCCGTGGGGTACACAAAGTGGGGCCGGGCAAGCTTGGCTCCCTGGGCACAGAGGCAGCTGATAGCAGCTCTAATTCTGCTAATCAGAGCAGAATCCTAGATAGGGGTTTGGGGACCCAGTTTGGATAATGGGAGGTACATTGTTTTCCCTCAAGATGAAATTAAATATAATTGGTAATAAAATGTTCGGAATTTGCAGCTCTGCAGGGACGAGAGAAGTTTTGTTGCTTAATTAGGATTGTCTGAGGTGAACTTAGAATTTGATTCAGCCTTTTATTGTTGTAAATTGACTTTATAGTTATTCTATAAATGGGAAAAAAACCTACCACAGATACCTCTTCAGGAACAAGTCTTATGGACCCAGCAAGCTGATTCTACTTTCACCAGCTCAATAATGGCATTGACGGGGTGGCAGAGGGGTGACTGTCCTTGTGCAGCCTGGTGTGTGCACCATCAAGATGCCCTGAGAGCCCCCAGAAAGTGACGAATTTATCAGGCTCTAAGATGCTCCCTACTCTAGATGCTGTGCTGAGGTTTGGAAACGTGGAACTTCGGACCCATTGCATGAATCACGGTGCAGAGCACAGAGGAAGGGATGGAGGCAAAATTGTGGCATCAAGCAAGGTTCATTTTACAGTATCACCCACTTCTGCTTTTATTCCTTTTTTTTTCCTGAGTGATGTTGAATACCTCTTCAACTTAACCCTTCCATCCTATTTTCCTCCCCCCTTCTCTCCCTCCCTCCACCCCTTCCTTCCCTCTCCCCTCCCCAGCCCTCCTTTCTTTCTTCCTGCTGCTACCTGTGGCCTCTGCCTGTGTGCCAGGCCCTGCAGTGAGGATACAGGTGAACGAACTGGACACACACCCCGCCTCGCTAAGTTGCCCTCCAGCTACCCCGTGTAACTCTCAGTGTCCCTCTCCCTTCATCCAAACTCCTGAGATGATTGACATGTTCACGCTGTGATACAAATGCCTAATTATAATGATGCATTAAATCCTTACTTTATAGCTAGAGATAAGAAATCTTAAGTCAAAGAAATGAGTGACCAATCGTGGAAATTCCAGATATCTGGGAATAGATTAGAGACCTGGGGGAAGGTAAAGCAGGAAAAGGAATCTTTAAGAGCTCCAGGAATGAACTAAACTAGCATCCAGAGAAAAAGAATACCAGTTCTGTTCTCACCCTCCCAGTCCAGACTGGAGGAGAGTTTTGATTCTAATTCCCTGAACTGTGGGTCACAGGGCCATTTGGAGCCTGGGAGAACAGTGCAGTTATCATAGAGTTGTGTCTGCAGCTGGCGTGTGGGTGGCTGTGGAATGAGTGGGTTTGGGGCTAGGAGATGTTGATTAGGACCCTGGATTGTGTGTGTGAGCTGGGAGAGTTATCCAACCTCTTTGTGTCTATAAACTGGGGATAAGCTTGCCTTCCAAAGAGAGTGTCTGCGATGACAGAGAACTTGGCTGTGAGCACTTGAACATGACAGGTGCCCTCCAAGGAAGGACATATCCCTTTAACCCTCTGTCGCCAGTGCAGGGCACTGCCTGCTGATTGTGTGAGGGATCCTGGGCATCCAACCTCAGCGCGGCGCCTCGTACCCTATAGCTCAAGCACCCAGAACAGTTGCTCATCACTGCTGTTTGCCTCCTGCTCAGGGAAGTGTACCGCGTGACAGAGAGTCTGCAGCGGGAGAAGTCAGGGCTCCTGAAGCAGCTGGATTTCCTCAGGTGGGTCAGCACTGGATGTGTTCTGAGAGCATGTCCCAGACACCTCAGGTAGGGGAAACAATCTGCATCTTCCCCGTCAACATGCTGGAAAAGCATAGCTATTGTGATAGCACCCACATTTCCCTTGTCCTTAACATATTGTTTAGACAGCCAGAGTACCCTTTTCATCTTCAACAAAACTTAGGAAAGTAGGACAGTTGTTAATACAGGAGTTAACTGATGAGGAAGTCGATATTAGAGAAATGAGATAATTGACCAAAAGTGACACAGCTACTTACTGGCAGAGCCAGAACTGAGATTCACATCTGGCTGATTCTCTTTATCCTGCCATACCATTAATGTTTGTTGAATGAGTACAGACATACCTCACTTTATGCTTCACTTTATTGTGCTTTGTACCGACTGCTTTTTTTTTCTTTTTCTTTTTTTTTTAACAAATTGAAGGTTTGTGGCAACCCTGCATTTTTTCTAAAGACTCAGGTGATTTGTTGCATTTTTTAGCAATGAAATATTTTTAAATTAAGGTTTTTACTTTTTTTTAGACATCATGCTGTTGCACACTTAATAGGCTACAGTGTAGAGCAAACATTACTTTTATATGTATTGCAAAACCAAAAAGTTCATGTGACTTGCTTTATTGCCATGGTCTGCAATCTCCAAGGTCTGTCTGAAAATAAGTCAAAACAAAGCATCAAGAAAGTAGTTTCTTTAGCTGCTAAAACTCACTGTAAATTCAGAGCTCATTGGCCTGAAATGTGCCAGAAAACAAACGCACCAAACCTGTGTGGGAAAGGACGGCATTTTCAGTTTTGCCTCTGAAATTTCTAAGCTTCTACCTGCCAAACACCTCCTGGGGAACAGTGATGAAGCAGGCCCTTGGGCTCTGATTTGTAAAGTGCAAGGAGTTTTGAAACAGGTAAGTTATGAAGTTTTTGTTTTGTTTTGTTTTGTTTTGTTTTATATAAACACAAAGTAAGGTCACTGTGTCTGACATCCATGATGCTCCCAAATTGAAAAGTGTTTCAAGCTGAATGCATTTCAGATTCACTGCACTCAATGCGTGATTCAAACGGGCCCCCAAAGGCCAGAGAGATGAAAGGGGTACTTAGGTGGCCAAGTTCTCATCCATTTGAGAGAAGATGTTGATTCTTAGGAAGGCTTTAGTGAAAGGAAATGAACAAGATGTCCAAGGACAAGTTTCTGTTTGTTTTTTCCCCTTCTTTCTATTGTACTTAGAAAAAAGGGCCGATGTAATGCAAAGGGGCAGAGGGGAGGGACAAGGCAGCACTCTACAGCTGCTTCGGGTCTTCTTAGAGGAGACCAGCATTTGGCAGAATCACATGGCTGGAGCTGCTGTGCGGTTCCAAGCTTAAACTCTGCTGGCTGGAGAAAGCCGAGATATGGAGGGGAGGTCCCGCAGCAGACTTTTTCTCCACAGTGAAGTCACCAGCTAGTGACCCAGGGCAAGGAGGAAGCAGAAATTGAGGAGAGAAAGTTGGGAGTTGTGTGGGGTGGGAAGAGTAGTGGGAATGTGGAGGGTGGTGGTGGTGGAATCAGGACAATGGCCGGGATGTGACCAGTGAGAAGGGGACCGGCCTCCTAAGGGAAATGGAGCAAATGGAAGCAATTTCAAGGCACCGAGTCAGAAACACAAACTTTGCAGCTGGATCTGGTTCAAGGCCCAGCACAGCTCTCATTACCTGAGTGACTTTGGACAATTAACTGTTCGGAATCTTAATCTTCTGCCCACCTCTCAGGCTTCTTTTGAGAATTAGGCGATAGGTGTTAAGTAGCAATCACAATAGGGGAGTGATGTGAAGGGAAGCCTACACATGAAAATTGTTTAGCATTCCTTAAATACTGAAGCTTCTGCGTGGAGATGGCTACACAAACACAACAGCAAAGTCCCTGATGAAGATGTGGCTCCCCAGGGCTCCCCAAGCACTCACCCAGGTAGAAGGCTGCAAATGTCACTGCCTGCTCAGAGGGAGGGTCCTTCCAACAAGTGAAGCTCCCTTTGCCATTGTCAGGGTTTATAAGATACCTTCCTCGTCCCTCTCAACAAGTTCTGAAGACCCTGGCTGTGTGCCTGTTGCTCATCAGATGCACATAGGTGGTACAGAACAACTCCAGAATGTTTCTACTATGTTCTGCAGACTGGGAAATTGAGGCCATTATTCCAGCCCATCTCAGGTCAGTGCCTGCAGCGAGCAGCACACTTAGCAGAGCGCCTGCCCACGGTCCATGTCTAGTAAGTGGCCACATTACAATGATGACGGATGGACCACAGCCATGGCCTCCCTTTGGAGACACCCATACATGTATTATAGTATTTCTTATATGGATCTCTTATCCTCCCCACCCCATCCAGCTGCTTTCCATTTCTCTAATCACTTTCAACAAAACTTCCAAAAGAATTGTTTGCGCTTATATTCACTGTCTCCATTTCCTTTCCTCATATTCTCCCCTACTAGTCAGGCTTTTTCTACCACTATTCCACTGAAAATGGAGCCAATGACCAACATGTTGCTTAAAATATTGGCCAATTCTCAGGGACCCACCCTTGTCCCCAAAAATCCATTCTTAGCACAGCACCTATAGGGCTTCTTTGAAAACCTGAGTCAGATCAGGACACTCCTCTGCCACCCCATCCCCACCCCCCATGGCTTCATCTCTCATTTGGAGTAAAAATCAAAGTTCTTCCAATGGCCCAGAGGCCATGAATAGCAGCTGCCCCTCCTCCCTCATCTTTTCCTGACCTTGTCTCCCACTGCCCTCCCTCTGAGCACTCTGCTGCCCTGCGTTCTGTTCTCACGCACACCATGCATACCCCAGCCCTGGGCCTGGCCCTTGCAGGCCCCTCTGCTGGCGATGCTCTTCCCCCAAATACCTGCAGAGCCTCCTCTCTCCTCCTTTCAGTCTCTGCTCAGATGCCACATTCTCTATGAGGCTCCCCTGACTACTCTGTTGAAACAGCACTCCACCCTCTGGCATGCTTTATTTCATTTTCCCCCTTTATTTTTCTCAGCAGCAATTATGTCTACACTAATGTACACATTCTCTGAGGGCAGGAACTTTTTCCTTTGTTTCTTGGTTTGGCCTTGATAGCTATAACAGTACCTGGCACGTAGTAGGTACCCAGAGGACGCTGATTGAGTGGATGTGGCAAGAATGAATGGTTCAGGGAGGGCACACAGGTCCCTGAGCAATCGACAGGTACAGCTGGAGCTCCTGGTCACCCTCTGGGGAAAGATCACCTGGTGACGGTAGAAATCAGTGTGCAATCTGAAGCGCCATGGATGCCACTAGACCATTCTCTCTGTCCCCCTTCCTCTGAGCTGATTTACACATAGACTACTCTCTGCCGTGAGCCACAATCCCTAAGGAAAGAGGTTCTGCATACTCCCTGGGACTTCTACACCAAGCCTTCCGGTGTTCCCAACCCAACTGGCAAACCGGCTGCTATTGACTCTATTGACCCCAAACTTCACATTTGAACAGATTCTCCTTTTCCATCACAGGGAAAGGAACAAGCACCTTCGGGATGAAAGGGACATACGTTTTCAGGTAAGTGCCGGGTGGCCCCTTCCCCTGAGGAAAGACAAGGACTGTGGTCCAGCAGCAGCCAGAATCTGAGCCAGGACTGGCCAGGAATGTCCGGAGGCTAGGGGTCTGGTTGCTCCTTGCTCTATGGGCAGGACCATGGCATATGCTTTTTTGAAAATAATAAAAACGTATAGTGGCCTCCTGGGCAACAGTGTGTTAATTTTCCATAAAGTAACATACATCCCTCTTGGCGTAAGGAGATGGAAACATCTGGAAGGGTCACACCTTTCTTGGAGACAGAAATGGTTGTTCTGTCCATGAGATGGCGCAGTTGAAATGTCATGATCACTTTTCAACCAAAATGCTCGCACTTTTTTTTTTCATTAAAATTGTCACCCCTTGAAATATTTGCCTTTTTACATTGTCATAGAAGAAATTCAGGATGTATATCTTACAATTTACATAGTTGATTTCATGTCTAATTTTTTTACCATGTGAGAATGCCGGCTCCTCGGTACCCGAGCACCACACTTATACTTTCCCAAAAGGCACAGTATTCTATGTTTATATAAAGCTCTTCCCATTGCGCTGCATTAAGCAAATCTAGGATCCCACGTTCCCCTACATTTTTCCCTTTTAGACAGTAGTGGTTGGATGCTCTACAGGAAGAAAAATGGATGCAGGACTGAGCGGTATGAGTTTTTAATTATTAGAATGATCACGCCTTGCACTCCATGTGTATCCTTGGCAAGTCACTCACCTCCTTGAACCATGACCCGGACTACCACATGAGGAAAGGGGGTCCCTATCCTTTTTCTTTTTTCTCTTGTTCATATTGTAGGGATTTTTGAGAAGAACTCTTAGAAGGAGGCCTTGCACTGAACCCTTAGCCAAACAGTGCCCTACATGTAGTCAGCAAGAGGCAGCGGTTTGCCCAGGTGCGCCCTGGTTTATGACTGCAGATCCCTGAGAGGCCTCGTTCCACAATTTCCTTTCTATCCCTGACTGGCAGCCAACATCTCTGCTGCCCCCCTGTGTGTACTATGAGAGCAAGGCTGCAGCCTGCACGTTTGTTTGATGATGATAATGGCTAGAATTGTTTGAGAAGTAACACTGAATTTATTTTAAAACTTCCAACCAAACGTCATCCTAATCCTTTGACTTGGCTTCCCCTCACCTGTCAAACTCATTTTGCATTGAAGAAGGAATGGACTTAAGACCGCTTGTGGGGAATAGAAGGAAGAGTGATTAAAAAAAACCATGTTCGTGCTGGATAATAATTAAAGATTAATTTGGAATCATTATAGCTGTACCTTCAGGGGCCCTGGGAGCCCTGCCGACCCCCCTTAAGGATTACCAGGAATCATGGGGATGGCTGGTTAATGAGAGATTCTCCCTGTGATCTAACTCCCCTCATCTCCTGAAGACATCTGTTAGGGAGTATTGGCAAAGTGGGCATAAGCCCCCACTCCACCCAGGCTCTCTGTTACAGATGTGTGAGCAATTTATCCACTCCCAGCCTATGTCCACAAAAGATTTGAAGTACTCTATGTTAGTTTAGTAGCTGAGAACAGGGCACTGGTTTAATTGATCCTCTGGGCTTCTCCCTTTATCATATCTGAGGCTTTGGGAACAAAAGGAGCTGGAGCCACACAGGAGAGTGTGATTTAAAGAGGCACAGGGTATTTTCTCTCCATAAAATATTTTCCCTATGTGTTCCACATTTATCTCTTCTTGTCCTCTTGCAAATTATCAATAGTCCTGTGAAGAACAGTAGCATGGACTCCAGGCTCTAAACTGCGTGTTGGTTCATTTGGTTAGATATATTAGACAGGAAGTGGAGGAATTCTGGTGAGAAGTGATGCCAAAAGGGAAGAGCAGGTGAATTCTAGCAGGGAAACCAGAAGATAGCTTGCTAACTTCCAAGTTTTGTTTAGAGCCTGACCTATGAGGTGGGAAAGTTGAGCTCTTTCTGCTCAAACACTGGGACAAATGAGCAGGCATGGATCTGAGGGCCTTTTGTGTTTCTACAGAAAGATAAGGCAGCCAAGGCAAACACAGCTGCTTCCAAGGCAAGCAGGAAACAGAGATCTGGCTCTGTGATAGGCAAATACATGGACAGCGCAGGGATTCTTAGAAGGTAAGTCATCCTCTATTTGTTCATACATTATCTGTTTGTGGGTCTTCAACTCACTTGGGGCAGGCCTTGAGCCCATGCTGAGTGCAGACTGGGCCTCAAGAAGTGGCCCTGGTGGGGAAGCCTGAGGTCAGCTGTGCTCACTCCCCTGGAATCTTGGAGGACATATCCCTTCCTGCCCTGAAAGCACTGTGCCGAGCGAGCTCCTAGGACAGGGCATGGTCTTTTCCATGCACCCCTGTTCCCCATGTGTGCCTGTACAGAGGGACTGGAGAGGTGCTGTAGATCAGCAGAGGAGAGAGAACAATGGAGCTCAGGGGAGAGATGGAGGGTGGAGTGTGACGACACCCTGTTGTCTGTTGAGCAGAATGGATGCACTTGATTTTTCAGGGACAAGACCATTTGAGCTCTAAAGGGCAATTAAAGTGTCATATGGAATCTCCAATAGTTGACCTTTTTTACGGACAAGAATAGGGCCTGTGCTTGACAGATTCCTTTCAGTGATTCATGTTTAATTAACTCAAAGATGACATATTTTGTTCCTATTGGACAACACATGATTGAGTCACCGAAGGAAGGGCTGTTGCTCATTCAAAAAGACCAGCCAGTCCCCTTCTTCTTCTTCTTCTTGCCACATACTCTATCCATGTCAATGGCCACAGAGAGGTAGAGGCAGCCAGATCCCTTAAGTACTAGATCTGGGGAGAAATTGTGCTAACTTGCTAATCTAGAAGACACCGAGGACAGAAAGCATGAAATGAACAGGCAGGCAAAGGGAGGTGACTCTGGGATGTCAGACAGCTGATGAGTCAAGTCTTTGGACCTGATCATCATGAATTCCTTTCTAAGTAGCTGAACAGGGAGATACAATTTGGGAGCTAAATTTGTGCAATAGTTGGCCTGTTGGTTCCTCAGAACTAAATATATTCATTGATTGATTCATTCAACAAGCATTTACCAATTGCCTGTTCTGTAGTAGGCCTTCTTTTGAGTTTTCTTAAAATTACAAAGATAAATTAGACATGAGTCTTGCCATTAATATTTATTATCATGTGCCTGCTATGTGCAAGATAGTGTGCTATATGCTGGGTATTCAGTAGTGAGCAAAATAGACCCTGTCTCTGGAGGAGACAGACAATAGGTGGGTAAACAACGACTTGTGAGCCTGAATTCCACCACAGACTTCAGCAGAGGTGAGTGCTGGCACACAGCATTTGGTAGAAAACCAAAAATGAACTTAGTCATGCTAAACTGAAGATATTACAGAATGTCAGTAGTGCTTGAGAATTTCCCAAATAAAAAGTTTTTCCAAGGAATGCTTCATTTCAGGACTATTTCATGGCCATTCTTTTTTGGGTGTAAAGCCTTTGAAAAAAACATGCTGTGTGGCCAGACTTGCTCACACACACACACACACACACACACACACTCCTGTGTGTGAGCAGTGAGAGTAGATGGGAATACTAATTTCGTTCAAAAGCAGATATACAGTAGGCTTGTTAGAGTATAAAAGGAATGTGTTGGAAAGAAGAGAGTCAGCTTCTATTAAAAACTGACATCATAAAAGGTGGAAAGGCCCTTGAATTGCTACAAATTCTTTGCTTTATATCAAGGCACCTACACTAAGTCACCATTTTTGTGAGAAAATAATGTATCTTAATTTATCTTTCAGAATGGCACCTAACTTCAGAACAGTGATACATGCATTTTTTCCCCTCCCTTCTGTTGGCCCTTCGGGGTAATAAATGTTGGAATTTAGAGGGGAAGATGGAGGGGGCTTCTCTTCTGCATATGCTGTGTCCTATGCCCACCTTTTTTCTCCTTTGACCTTGTTTCCTTTGACCTCACCACTTCATCCCCATTACTCTTCTCCAATCCTTGCATGGGTGTGTGCACATGTATGTGTGCACTGCATGTGTGTGGAGGGGTATGTGTGTATCAATTTTAGACTAAATGGCTTCCCTGTCAAAACTTCTGTCCCCTTTAAAGTACTTCTCAGCTTCGATTGCTCACAAAGACCTGAGAGGAACGCCTGTGCCAGGAAGGATCTGTGAGGCCTTTGCTCCCCAAAACTCTGAAAGTACAGCCTGTGCAGTGGCCCAGCGTCCCTGCATCACCTGCTGCTTCTCCTTGTTCTTGGAGCTCAGATGCTTCTGGAAGTAGACATGCACTTAGGCTCTGAGGCCACTTCCTCCTGATTCTGACTTGCAGGGTCACAGAAAAAGAAAGAGAAAGGGAGGAGAGGCAGATTGAGACACCCTGCCTGGCGGCCTTCTGACTCAAAGCCCGTTCTCTAGTGGGCAGCTGCCTCTCAGACGTCTGATCAGTGGGGGTGCCCCAGAGCAGCAGTCCGCCTCCCACATACTGCCAAGGGGTGCTTTACAAGCATGTCTTTTTTTATGCATTGCCTTCTTTGAAGGTAGGCAGGGTAGTGGGCCACATTTTATGGTGTGGAAACTGAAGCTCAAAGTGTTTTATCTGGGGACACAGTTAGGGCTGGCATTGGGACCTGAGCCGAGGCCACCTGCTTGTTCACCCAGGACCCTTTATTTCCAGATCTGTTATGCTCCTTTCTTCACACCCTTCCTTCTCCATCATAGCATTTCTCACAACTTGTAAAAATGTATTTAGTTGTGTCATTATTGTTTTGGCCCTCCACTAAGCCAAGCATTTCATGAGGATGGGGTACTTTTTCTGTTTGTTCATGGCAGTGACATTAGTCTAGTACCTGGTAGACCATCATCACAGTCACCATCATCACCCTCATCATCAGACACTCGCATAAGTGTGTTGCGTGAATGAACTAAGGAATGCTGGGTCTGGCTGCTCCTGTCCCGGAGCCCTCTGCTCCCAAGGCATGGTGCCCTTTAGTCATCTGTCAGAAAAGCTGTGTGGCTTTCGTACTGATCCATTTTACAATTTTCTTCCTGCTCTTCTTTCTTCCCACCCAAAATAGCCAGTCAGAGGAGGAAGAAGATGGGATTGGCACACAGAGGAGGAGAAGCTCTCTGGGCCTAAGTGGGTATCCCCTTACAGAAGAAGAGCCAGGAACCAGGGAGCCAAGGGCTGGGGGTCCAGTCCCCCAGGTGCTCCGCAGAATCATCTCCATTGAGGAAGACCCCCTGCCCCAGCTCCTGGAGGACAGCTTTGAGCGGCCACTGAGCAGATGCCCAGAAGAGGAGGGGGTCTTTGACCAGGGGCGGCAAGGGCAAACCCAGAAGGCCTGCCCTTCTCAGCTCATGCTCACATCTCCCCGAGTGCAGCCTATTGGGAAGGAAGCCCTGTCTAAGGTAAGGGCACATCCCGCCTTGGGGTTGGACATCACCCTATGCCTTGTCCCAAAGGCAGCCCAGGAAGGCAGATGCGACTGGTCCTGTGAGTCAACATATTTGTGTCCTCCCAATATCCCCTTCCCCCGCTTAGCTGAGTGTCTTGGGGGCCACCCAGGGGTCCTGGTAAATTCTCCTTATAACTTCTAATGTTTGCCCCACTCCCCGCCCTATAATCTTTTTTCTGACTCAGCATAACACTTAAATCCGTTATTCTACTTGAACGCCCCCACCAGATTTTCCTTTAATTCTGCAGGGACAAGGAGGCCATCTGAACCATCTCCTCTGGTTCATGGTGATAATGTTTCATACCTTGTCTGTGACCTGGGCCTAGGAATAGGCTCCTTAAACATCCCTCCCCCACCATCCACTTGACCCTCTAAAACAGCTTTAGAAATGGCCACGGCAGTGTGACACAGGCTCCTCTCTGCACACTGGCACAGCCCTTTAGAATTGAGTCCTGGCCACCTCGAGCATTTCCATGACTGTATTAGCATGTGCAACAGGAATACTTCTCTGGTCACTGTGTAGGGTCTTTTTGGCATCAGTTGTCATTCTTGGGTCCAGACTAAGATTCATGACTGTGTATCACTCCTCTGAAGGGTGGAATGGTGGAGGCCCAGGACCCAGGACGGATGGAGAAGTGGGTGTCACCCAGTGGTGGGTGAGGCCCCTCCCCCTACCTGTCACCACACAGACCTACACATGCAGGCAGCGAGCACAAATGGGGTTTTTAGTACCCCATGCCTTCCCCCCGTATGTGAAAGAAGCGTTAAGAAGCCGGGGGTAAAGGGAAAGGGCTGAGCATCATGTCAGCCATGGCGTTTGATCCTCGCAGTCATCTGATGAGGCATCAGGAATTTATTCTTCCTTATGGCAGATGGGGGAGTGGCACCCAGAGGGGTGCAGCCTGGCCCAGCCTTCTTGCCCTGCTCTCACACATTGTGGCTCCACCAGCTTGGGCTGCCATCTAGCTGGGGACAGAAACTGCAGCAATGAGGAAATATGGCCTCCTAGGAGCTGCATGGCAGCCTCAACAGAGTCTCTGCTCTTTGGAAGGTGTTGCAAAGCAGGCCCTCTGTGCAAGACAGCTGAGCCAGGAACTGGTGCAACCTTTCTGGCATGTACTTTGATCATAAGAATCAAGAACTTACCAATATCACATCCTTTGAACTGGCACTTCTACTTCTAGCAATCTTGTCTCAGAAACAACCAAATTCAGACAAAGACTTAATGCAAGAATGCAAGCGTATAATAGCAAACAATTGAAAAACTAATAGGACATAAACTATAGCATATTAATTCAATAGACTATTACGCTGCTGCTAAAAATCACATTTTCAAAATAAAAATTAGTGACCCAGAGAAATATTTATAATTTAATAATATGTGAAAAGTATAAAATTATAATATCTCAAGTCTCTCTCAATAAAACATAGGTTCTTTCATCTGTATAGGAAAATGCCTGGAAGAAATGCATGAGAACATGAAAAGTGACCCCTGCAGGGTGGTAGGGGAGATCCTAAGTGATTATTATTTTCCTTCCTACTGTTCTGTAGTTCCTAATTTCAAAAAAATTGCACGCATTACTCTCATTTGTAAAGCCCTTTTTAAGCAGTGGGAAAGAGAACAGCAGACCTTTTTCCAGCCCCCTTGCCCAAGTCCGGTTGTCTCACTGTGGATTGTTCCGAGGGGACACAGGTTAAGTGCATGAACATGAGTAGGAGTTCACTGTACCATTCTGCCTGGAGCTGAACCATCAATAAATGTGTATATATTCTTTGGCCTGTAAACAATTAGTGCTCTGTCTGGGGGTAGGGTGGGGTCAGGCTAAGGGTCAGGTACAGCCTCTGCAGCCAGGACCCGCTCCTCCCACTGAGGGTTCTCAGGTCCCACCTGTACCTGGGCCTGAGGATTCAGATTGCCGCTGGGAGCTTTAGTCTCAAACAGATTCAAGTTAGAAGTGCAGAGGCTGGGCAGAGACAGCAGAGAGCCGATGTTCTTGGTATTGCAAGAGTAAAGAAAATGGGGCAGGGGGCATAGTTTTTAAGTGGTGAGTATGTTTTTTTAAGTTTAAATTCCTATAATTGACCTTGAATTCCTACTTAAGTACTACTTGGAACTGATTTCTCCCCAAAAGCCTGTTAATGGCTTTTCTCTGAAACTCAAGTACTGCTAAGATCTGTCGCCACTCCATTATAGTATTTACTCAATGAGAGGAGCTAATTCCCCCAAATCCATTTCTAAATGATTCAAAAGAGTTTCCTCATTTGGCCCAGCAGTACTGGGCTGGGCCTGAAGGCAGGACTACTGAAGAGAAAGCAAACAGCTCTCTCAAAGGAAGGACAGCTCAGTGGAAAAGAATGATCCTGTGTGGAACCGGGCGGGGGCGGCGGGGGTGAGGGGGGGTGCTTACTCTGCCTCTCTCTCCCCCAGTGTCTAAGCGAGACCATTCCCTGCTGGGTTTTAGTATCCCACACTAATGGGCAGCCGGGGCCCCCCGCCCCTCCTGCTGCAGGGCAGCGGAGAAGGAGCAGCAGTGGAGAAGGAGCAGCAGTGGCTGGGGACTCAGGAATGGTCTGCCAGGGGCCTGGTATCACCGATTCCCAGCCTCGTAGGTGGAGACTGTCTTGCCTTCGTTCCCAGGGCAGATGGGGGTCCTGGATGGGAGCTGATGAGATGGCACTAAAAAACAAAGGACAGGGAGGCCAAGAATATCCTCCATCAGTCCAGGCTTTCAATGAGAAGGCAGAAACAAAAACCCCTGCCCCAGCCCAGGCTGTCTGCCCTGTGAAAGGGATAAGTCTTCTTTTTTCTCTTTCCCCTCCTTCCTGCAAACACCCAACCTTATCCTCCCTTTGGCTCCCTAGAGAATCTCTGCCTCTGCTTTAAGCCCCAGCTCAGAGTGTCTGCTCGATGGAACGTTGGCTCCTCGGCTCCCCCTCCCTGCTCCCAGAGCATTTGGATGGAACATTGTGCTGAGATTGTTTGTTTCCATGCCTGCCTCCTTCACTCCACTGTAAACCAGGCCTCTTCCTCTCCCTGCCTCTTCAGGCCCAGCACAGAGCCTGCAACACTGCAGGCAGACAACAAATACTAGTTGAATGAATGCCCTTCTTCCCTCCTGCTGATGCCCTGGGCCCAAAGTTATCTACATCCCAGGCTGGGTGGTTTCCCAGTGCTGGTGTGGAGGCTGGTCCCCACTCTCCCCTGGACACTATGGGCACAGGTGATGGGCAGATTGTGTTGGGACAGGGGGCTAGCGACCTTTCTAGCAGCTGACCACACTGCCCGCCATCCACAGGAGGAAGGCTCTCCCTCTACCCCAGACCAGCTCTTCAAGATTGTGTTTGTGGGCAACTCCAGTGTAGGGAAGACATCCTTTATCAGGAGATTCTGTGATGACCAGTTTTCCTCCAGCATGACGGCCACCGTGGGTAAGTTCTTGCCCCTAGACTGGGCCCTGGCCCGTCTCCGGGAAGGAGAGGTTATGAGACAGGGGCCGAGGGAGGTGCTTGGAGCCCAGCGGGAGAGGCCCTGGGCCCTCAGGGAGAGGAGGCCGGGCCTGCTTGCTCCACAGTGAAGCTAGGAGACACAAGGTGAAGTCCACCTCCTGCAGAGTGATAGCTGCTAAGCTCACTCCAGTGGGATACGACCACCGAAAGCTTCCTGCGTCTGGCTGCAGAGGAACTGAAGTTAGCAAAGGTGGACTTCAGGCCCCTGTGCCCTCGCTGAGCCTCTCTCTCTTTTATCCTTCCTTTACCCCCTTCAACAAGGCCCTGAGTCTTCATGCTCCTGCTGAGGCTCCCCCAATGCCACAGCCCCCATCTCCCCCATGGGCCAGCTGCTTCCATGCCCTGTCCCTCCTGGTGTGAGTGTGTGTTGGCAGGCAGGACGGAGGACAGTGCCCTAGATGGCTCCTTTACCCAGTACATGTTACCCGTCCTAATCCCGGGCCTGCTGGGTGACAGCTGGAGTTCACTGTAGAAGCTCATTAGGCCCAGCTATTAGTAGATGGTCATGGCTAGATGTGTTCCCACTCTTGGGTAAAATTTTATTTAGATAAAGGACTTTTTTCTCTTCCTCTAGAGTTGCTCATTTTATTGAGTTATGTGGTAAGCTCATAGGCATATTGACCTTTCTAGCTTTTACCAAGTTGAATCACTTAAGCAAAAAAATAAATCCATTGAGTGCCTACTATGTACTATTTAACCTCACTGATAAATCAACTATATTTGAAAACATGTTGATGTGATCTGAATATTGACCATGAACTTTTATGTGCATCATTTCACTCTATCTTCACATAACCCCAGGAGGTAAGTATTGTTATCAACCTAATGGACAGATCAGGAAACTGAGGCCCAGAGAGGTTAAGAGGCTTGTCCACATTCCTATTAGCTGGTTGGTGTAGATACTGGCCGTCCTGTCCCCTCCCTCCGCCCCACACTCCTGTTCCATCCCACAGTGTTGCTAGTAATATCGAGTTGTACATGCTCAGCACCCAGTGGGTTTCAAGGATACTTTTCTGCCACAGGAGGTAGACAGAGGTTGGTGCAGGCGGGGAAGGCTGCTGAGGTGCTAGGGAGGCATCCGAAATTCTGGATCTTTATCTCACTTCTGCCACTAACCAGCTATGTGGCTTCAGGGAACATGTTCCCTCTTTCAGCCAGCTTTTTCTCATCTGAAAAATGAACTGGGTCACCCATGACTGCTTCCAAGCCTGAGTCTCGGTCCAGACCATCTTTGACCTTTGGCTCTCTGACAGCTGGCCCCACAAGACAAACTTACCCTGCCCCAGAGCTCTTCCTGGGGAGACCCTGTGTTCTTCCTCTCATCCTGAACTGGCCCTTCCTTCCAACTTTGCTCCTGCGATGGATCTCTTCCCACATGCTTTAGGGTGCCATTCTTACTGCTGGACCCTTTCCTATGTGGTTATCACATCTGGAATATCCTCCCTTCCCTTCCTTTTGGCTCCATCCCTTACCAACTGAGAGCACACAACGATGAAGAACTGGGACCCTGATGGGAAGAAAGGCAGAGCCTGTGAACCAAGCTCAAAAGAGTCTGGCCTTGTCTGGCCTGGAGAAGAATGGCCAAGGGTAAGCCACGTGCACCGAGTATGGTGGCACAGGAAGCAATGGCTGTGGAGGTGCACTTGCCTCCCTCAGGCATCATTCAGTGACGTGCCCCCCACAAATCATGGCTCAAGCGCAGACCCACAGGAGACAGGGGTATGGATGCTGAGGCCTCAGGCCCTCAAAGGGCCCCTTGCGGGCATGTCAAAATCATAGGGTGTCTCTCCTGTCAAAATCAGGGAATCAGGTTCTGTTTACCTTTCCAATTTGTGCCCCTGAGATGGAAGTCTCTAAAAAGAGAAAATCAGACTAATTTGCACTTCCCAGGAGGCCAATTATGGAAACACCTACAATGTAGGAAGAAGAAAAATATCAAAGGTTCCAACTCAGGAATGCCCTTTATCACACTGTGCAAAATATGCAAGAGCAGCAGCTCAAATCTGTGTCCCTGCCACGCAACATGCCTTGCTCTGGTGCATGTGTCAGTAAGCACAGTCACGCCAGCCACATGAAGGATGCTCCCTGTAGGGAGACAGAAGAGCCACAGAGTCCTGGCCCTCTAGGGCCAAAGCAGTCCAATCCTAGGTTGGAGCTCTAGCCAGCCCCCGCTCCAGGGCAGCAGAGTACCCGGCAGGGACTCTCACCAAGCTCACCACAGCACAGAACCCCTTTTTCCCGGCACTCCTTCGTCCACTGCACTCTCTGCAGCATAAGCCTCCTATCCTCCAGCAAAACAATTAGCCAGTGAGGTAAAACAGGACCATGAAGGCAACAGAGACCTGGCTGCCCCTCTGCCTTTGAGCCTTTCCATCAAAGAGAGGGCTCTGTCATCGGGACATCCCACCTTGGGCTGGCTGGCTTCAGATCAGACCCCGAAGGTGTGTCAACAGTGGTTGGTGTTCTCCTGAGTTGCTGCCAGGAAGTGGGCAGCCTCTTCAGTCTCCCAGAGCATAGACTGAGGAAGCTGTGCCACTTTTAGCTAAGAAGAATGCTCACCTTGGATTCAACTCTCAGCCAATTGTAATCCATTTGGATGGAAGCACTTAGCTCTGGACTTTCTAGGTAAAATGAAGCTGTCAGGTGTCCCTGTGCCCAGGGTACTGGTGTAAAAAGAACGAGCCTCTGAGCTGGGTTTGCAACACACTGCAGCTGCTGATGAGTTTGGGCAAGGCAAGCCATCTGGATTCCTGTTTCTTCATCTCTCATAGGTGTGGTGGGTGGGGTGGTGTGCATGTACATATCTGTGTGCATGTATGTGCATGTACATGAATAGATATGCATGTGCATGTCTTGGTGCATGCTCACGTGTGTGTGTGCAGGTAATGCACATGGATGTCACAGGGGGAGCAGTGTGAGGATGGAGAGATAGCATATGAAACTAGAAATATCAAGCATTCCACTCAAGCAAGAGTCAAATCACTCTCTCCTGTCCCAAAGGCACTGCTCCCTCTGTCTCTCACCTGTGAAACACAGGGCCTCCAGAGTCACTCTAGGAGTCGTGATCCTCCTACCTGTCCTCCACTCATGGGCCCCCGTGCTGTGGCCTTTGCCTGGGACAGTGGCTGGGATGACCTTTTCCATTGACTGCCTCCTTGTTGTCTTTTTTGTCTCTTCTGTCTTTTTTGGTACAAGCTGCTGTTGTCCCTCTCTAAGCCCTCCAGGGTGAGGACCTCAGAAGCTTGGCCTTTTTAGAAGTAGTAGGGGATGCCCTCTGTTTCCAAGGTCTGATACCTTAAGGGGCAAAGACTTTTTGAACCTCATTAAGCATTTGTGAACATTCTTAAATGATGCAGGAGAGAGGAATATCTGTTATCAAAGAAGTTCTGAGGGCTGCTGTGGGCACAGTATGCATGTTCCTGACCTTGTCCCCTCTCTCTGTGGTCCATGACTCCAAGTAGGGTCACTGCCTCAGAGAGACAATTGTGAATAGCCCAGTGGCTGGGATTAGGAACTCTAATCCCATCTCAAGGGTGAGTGTTGCCTTCGATCCCTTCTCGTTCCTATTTCTTCTCTTCTAGCACTCCCTCCACCTGCTACCCCTTCCCATCCTCCTGTTCCTCTGCATATCTTTGCAGTGGCTGATGGAAGTCTGAAAGTATGACCCATCCCCACAGAGATTTGAACTTTAGGGGAGCTTTGGAAATCATTATGGGGAGGAAGGAAGGAAGGAAGGAAGGAAGGAAGGAAGGAAGGAAGGAAGGAAGGAAGGAAGGAAGGAAGGGAGGGAGGGAGGGAGGGAGGGAGGGAGGGAGGGAGGGAGGATGGGAGGGAGGAAAGGAAAAGAAAGAGAAGGGAAGGGAAGGAACGAAAAGGGGGTGGGAGGGAGAAATTGTAGGACAGTCTTTCCTCCTCCTCCATCTTTGCAGTGAGGTAGTACATTCATAAATAATAACAATTGTCATTGCATTGGCATATTGCTATTACATGTGTGATCTCATTTGAGCCTTATTATATTATCCCTAAAGAGGGTATGGATTATAGTACAGTGAGGAGCCTGCAGTTCAGAGAGATGAAGTGACTTGATAATAAACGGCAGAGATAGAATCAGGTCCCACACCTTCCTGTTCCAGCGCTCTGTCCACTTCCTCACATCACCTCCCAGAAGCTACACAGAAGGGCTATCGCCTTTGGCCTTATGTGACTCCAGACATGTTGGGGCATCACGTTCTGATTTCGCGGTAACAGGCCCATTCCACCTTGCAGGCATCGATTACCGTGTGAAGATGGTGCATGTGGGTGACTCACAGGTGGCCCTGCAGCTGTGGGACACAGCTGGGCAGGAGAGGTGAGGAGCTGTCCCTGATGTAACCCTGCCTCCCCTATTCCCCCATTGGGGCCACAGGACTGGGCTGCAGAGGGGAGACTGCACCTCCGCTGACCTGTGGCCCTTCGGTGGCAGGTATCGTTGCATCACCCAGCAGTTCTTCAGGAAGGCTGATGGTGTCATCGTCATGTATGACCTCACAGACAAACAGTCCTTCCTGTCGGTCCGGCAGTGGCTGAGCAGTGTGGAGGTGAGCTGGTGACTTCCCAGGAGTGCTTACGCTGGCCTCCTAACTTTCCTTCCTTCTCTACCCATCTCCTGCCTGGCCCTCTGCTCTTTCAAAACCTCATCAGTATCCCTGTTCTCCAGGAGCAAACCAATTCAGCCATGTGAGCGGTCATTTACCCAAGTGCCAGTATCAAGCTTGCTGCTGGGGACTCTAAACTGACCAAGACAGACACAGTCCCTATCCCCATGGATGGGACATTTAAAAAAAACACAGATTCCACCAATAATTGTGTCATTATGATTTCAGTAAGTGCTATGAATGAGTGGGACAGGATTAGAGGAGGGGCACAGAGCAGAATGTGAAGGAAGGTTTCGTTGAGAAATAGTTGTTTAAACTGAGTCACAACTGTGCTATTCCCCCTTCTCTCCACCACCTCCCCCACCCTGTGCATTTTTCTAGCTCCAATGGGCCCAGCTGTGCCCTGCCCAAGAGTGACACCACACAGTGTTTTGGGGCCTCAGTCATAACCCTTCACACAAGGGGAGATTGATTTATAATATGAGGACCCAAGGCTCACCCCAAAGTCACCCTAGGCAAGGCCCATAAGCAACAGCAATCTTATTTGAATTCTGCATTATCTGTGAGACTGTGCCTCCTGACTTATACTTGCAATATGTCCCTTTTTACTTCCTGACCATCTGCATGTTCTCTCTTTACCACTTGAATGTAAACTTCTCAAAGCCAAGGACAGAGTAGGCCAACCACCTAACTTCTTTTAGTAGGGCCTTGCTGATTCATTCACAAAGCAGGCAAGTAGCATGTCCCAATTTCTTCCACCAGCAGGATGCATGCACTGTTCATTTATTTGTTTAAAACATTGTCAGCCTCCCTTCTAGGGTCTGCCAGTTGGAGCAGCAGGTAAATGAAATGATGTTTCTATTCTCACAGAGCTTACATTCAACCCTCTGTTCAAGCCCATTAGACCTTGCATGCACTCCTTACCTACTTATCACACTCACACTGCTGTGAAGGACATAGTTCCCACCTTGGATCCCTGTTGCTCCCTGTACCTCCTTGGGAACTGAAATGCACCTTTGTCATTGTAACCCCGTGCTTGCGCGGGGCCCCACAGAAGTAGTGCTCAACCAGTGCTGGGTGCATGAATGGATGCTGTATCGTTGTGTAGTCAGAATATCGGAGTTGTTCATTTCTTCATCCTTTTTGTCCCTAACATCTATGATTCCTCCCACCAAAATATGTTGCTCTTGTAGTTAGGACTGGTGGGGCCACTCCTTTCTCTACTCTTAATCCACATCCTTCTCATTCCCTGCAAAATAAGGAACAAGAGTGCAAGTCAGATTCAAGAGTTCTCAGAAATTTGCTTACTACAAATTATTTCTCAAAATTATTGAGCCTAAAACACTTATAATAGAGAAAATGTACATTTTTAAATGTAGTTCGTGACTCTACACCAAGATAATAATGAAAGCAAATAGTATAGTAATCTGAAAGTGCTTCCTATTTAAACTTTGGGGTTTCAGACCTGATTTTTTTTTTTTGACAGCACCAGTGATTTATCTTCCTCATAGAAGTTAAGCTCCCGCAGAGACGTCGGTGCTTGCCTGACCCAATGGTTTTCAGACTTTCTCTGGTAGAACCCGAAAGTCGGAGTGGCACTCCCCAGGGACTGGGGCAGGGCAGGGAAAGGCATAGCCATCACAGCTCTGGGCCCCTCACCCCCATGCCAGTCAAGGCCACCCTATCTCATTCAGTTTGGTATATTGGAGGCCCAGGTATGACTTTGCTAGATAAGGGGGTTTCCCTTTGAAAAATCACTGATCTAAGACCGCCCTCTCATTCTCAAATTAAGAAGTTGAGGCCATGACTTTGGGGAAGAAAGATCATCCATTCTTTCCCCAGCCACACACATTTTTCTTTTTCTTTTTTCTAGTTTACATAGTTATATGTAAAAGTTATAGTTTACATGGAATATCATATTAGTTTCAGGTATTCAATGCAGTGATTAGACATTTGTATATCTTATGAGGTGATCATCTTGATAAGCCATCTGACACCACACATAGTTATTACAGTATTGTTGCCTAGATTCCCTGTGCTGTACTTTACATCCCCGTGACTGTTTTGTAACTGCCATTTTGTACTTCTTCAATTTGTACTTACCTTTATCTTTTTTACCAGTCCTCCCAACTCCTTTCTCATCTAGTAACTGTCAATTTGTCCTCTGTTTCTATAAGTTTGTTTCTGTTTCATTTGTTAGTTTATTTTACTTTTTAGATTCAACACATAAGAGAAATCATACAGTACTTGTCTTTGCTGTCTGACTTAATTAACTTAGCACAATGCCCTCTAGGCCTATTCATGTTGCTTCAGATGGCAGGATTTCATTCCTCTTCATGTATGAGTAATAGTCCATTGTACATGGATGCCACATCTTCTTTATCCATTTGTCTATCGATGGACACTTAAGTTGCTTCCTTATATCTTGGCTATTGTAAATAATGCTGCAGTGAATTACGGCTGCATATATTCTTTTGAATTGGTTCAAATCTATACCCAGAAGTGGAATTGCTGGGTCATAAAGCAGTGCTATTTTTAATTTTTAAGGAACCGCCATATTGTTTTCCACAGTGGCTGCATTCCCACTGATAGTGCACCAGGGTTCCTTTTTCTCCATATCCTTGCCAACAGTTGTGTGTTGATTTATTGATGATAGCTATTCTGACAGGTGTGAGATGATACCTCACTGTGATTTTAATTTGCATTTCCTTGATAATTAGTGAAGCTGAGAATCTTTTCATATGCCATCTGTATGTCCTCTTGAGACAAATGCCTATTCAGTCTTCTGCCCATTTTTTAATCAGAACGTTGTTTTGGGGTTTTTTTGTGTGTGTGTTAAGTTGTATAAGTTCCTTATATATTTTGGATATTAAGCCCTTATCAGAGATATCATTGATAAATATCTCCTCCCATTCAGTAGGTTGCCTTTGTTTTGTCAATGGTTTCCTTTGCTGTGCAAAACCCTTTTATTTTGATGCAGTCCCATTTGTTTATTTTTTTTCTTTTGTTTCCCTTGCCCTTGAAGACATATCAAAAAAAAAAATTGCTAAGAGTGTTATCAAAGAGTTTGTTTCCCATGTTTTCTTCTGAAAGTTTTATGGTTTTGAGTCTTACATTTAAGTCTTTGATCCATTTGAAGTTTATTCTTGCATATGGTGTAAGAAAATGATTTTCATTCTTTTGCACGTATCTGTACAGTTTTCCCAACACCATTTGTTGAAGAGATTGTCTTTACCCCATTGTACATTCTTACCTCCATTGTCATAGATTAACTGACCATATAGATGTGGGTTTATTTCTGGGTTCTCTATTTTGTTCCATTGATGTGTGTCTGTTTTTGTGCCAGTACCATGTTGCTTTGATTACTGTAACCTACAGTATAATTTGAAATCAGGTACTTTGATACCTCCAAATATGTTCTTTTTTTCCTCAAGATTGCTTTGGTTGTTCAGGGTCTCTTGTGGTTCCATATAAATTTTAGGATTGTCCTCATTCAGTGAAAAATGCCATTGGTATTTTTGTAGGGATTACATTGAATATATAAATTGCTTTGAGAAGTATGAACATTTTAATAATGTTAATTCTTTCTATCCATGAGTATGGTATATGTTTCCATTTGTTTGTATATTCTTCACTTTCTTTATTGTTTTACAATTTTCTGAGTACAGGTTTTTTACTTCCTTGGTTAAATTTATTGCTAGAATATTTTATTCTTTTTGATGCGATTGTAAGTGAGATAGCTTTCTTAATTATTTTTATGATCATGTTATTGGTGTATAAAATGTAATAAATTTTAAATATTAATTTTATATCATATTTTACTGAATTTTTAAATTAGTTTTAATGAGGTTTTGGGTGTGACCTTGGAGTTCTCTATATATGGTATCATATCATCTGCAAATAAATAAAGGAAGAAGTTTGACATCTTCCTTTCCAATTTGGTTGCCTTTTATTTCTTTTTCTTGTCTGATTGCTGTGGCTAGAACTTCCAATATGATGTTGCATAAAAGTGATGAAAGTAGACATCCCTGTCTTGTTCCTGGTCATAAAGAGAAAGCTTTTGGCCTTTCATCATTGAGTATGATGTTAGCTGTGGGTTTATCATATATATCCTAGCCACAAACATTTAATTGTCCCTCAGTATCTGAATTTTGATATACACTGGAGCTGGGCAGAAGCAGTTCAAACAGTCTCGAATTAGTAGGGATGAATGGAGACGAGTTTGTGGAGTTGACCTCTCTGCTATCACTAGGGGATGTAGTTTCTAAGGCTCCTATTTTTCACAGAGAGCCTGGGATTAAGGAGAGTTAGAAGGTCAGGTTGAGTTTCATGCTAATGGGAGGTGATGAACTATCAGAGGGCCATTGTCACAGCTTGGAGCATGAGTTCAGTCATCTTCAGAAAAACAGTGCCACATGCCAGATGTCTGGCATATTACTGTATGGGGCTGAAAATCATCATCAGCATGTGCCCAGCAGGAGTCCTCATGGAGCCTTAGTGTCTCTATGGACTCAGGAAGCCAAGCTGAGATGGCAGTTCCCTATGTGGTTAACTCAGAATTATTTGTGTGTGAGTAGGACTTTTTTGTATAATTTGTAGTTTGAGTTCTCCTTTTTTAAAATTAGCAAAAGACACACTTAAACTCTAAATGACTATCCCAAACTTGGATGAATCTCAGAATCACCTGTGGAGCTTTCAGACAAAACAGGTGTGAGGGCCTTTTCTCTGAGATAGAATAATTCAGGGCCTGGAAACAAACAAACACAAACAAATAAACAGCCGTTTCCCAACTGATTCTCAGCCACTGTTGTTCCCAGCCTAAACAAGTGCTTCTCAAGCTTAAATGGGCATAGGAATCTCCTGGAAATTTTGTTAAAATGCAGAATCTGACTCAGCGCGCCTGGGCTGGGCCTGAGATGCTGCATTTCTAACAAGTGCTCCGA